TATGTCGATGGTGCCAAAACAGATAGTGGTTCAGGAGCCGGCATCTACTCCGAACAACTGAACGCACAAATCAGTGTACCTCTCGGCACCCACACGTCTGTCTTACAAACAGAATTGATGGGAATAATGCTGGGAGCTAGAATCATTGCTGAACGTGAAATCGGCAACAAATCAATACGCATACTTACTGACAGCAAGTCTGCACTACTAGCCCTGGACAGCTGTATGGTTCGATCCGGGCTGGTTTGGGAGTGCAGACAAACGCTAAAGTATGTAACGCAGAGGAATAGTGTGGTACTTTGTTGGATCAAAGGACACAGTGGCAACGAAGGAAACGAGAGGGCAGATGAGATGGCGAAGCGAGCCGCGCGTATGCCCTTCTGGGGACCCGAACCGGCAATCACGCCTTCGGTCGCCCTCTCGAACGAACTCGTAAAGCAATATACCCATAGACGCCATGAGCAGATATGGGCGACGTTGAGCAGCTGTCGGCATAGTAGAGCTTGTATGGCGACACCAGACCGTAAGTTGACAAAATTTTATCTCTCACTTTCAAGGGACAAACTGCGTAAACTGGTAGGATTCCTTACGGGACATTACCAGTTTAACAAACATCTACATACGATAGGGGTAGCAACAGACCCAATCTGTCGTGGATGCAATGAAGAAGAGGAAACAGCTGAGCACATTCTTCGTGAGTGTCCAGCCCTAGCCTCCTACAGGGAATCCATACTAGGGGACATCTGGCCTAGTATGGCAAATATCAGGGAGTTTCCACCCTCTGCATTACTCAAGTACATTCAAGCAGTTGGATGGCTTGACGAGTAGAGGAGCGGGAAAACACCCTGATATGGACTTGGGGAAGGTACAATGGGCCCAAAGGCGAGGCCTAAGTGCCGGCTGGCTACGGTCAGCCCCCATAAATTAAGAATCCAGAATCCAGAATCCAGACAATGTTCTTTTTGAGCCAGGTGAAAATTCTTTTGTGCTCCTGATTTTCAGAGGGCTTAAATGTGAAGGAATCGTAATTGATTATCGTTAGAGCCTCAAAGAATGTAGTGAGTGCTTTGTGATTTGCCAAATATGCAGCTCGACACATAAATTCGTCAACACATTGCTCGATCCGTCGGTAATTTTTCTGGATATTTTCAACAGGATAGAAGATATCCCCCAGATTCTGCCAGTGATGATCACTTAATAATTTATAAATAAAAGATTTATAAACTAGTGAATTATCAAGGTAGTTGGTGGTCATTAAAAACTCCAAAGAAGCATAATTTAAATTTTCAATGTTGTCTCTTTCACATATATTTAGAAATGCATCAATATAACTGTCAAGAGATTGTTTCTTTTGTAGGAGTACACATATGTCAAGAGTAAAAAAACCAACTTCATTTTCAGCAATCCATTTAAATACTTCATCCGGTGCAATAAATTCGGCTTTTTCAATAATGTAAAGGAACAAATTTAATTTTGTCCTATCATTCGCAGCGGCGCGAAGATAAATTTTATACACATTTTCGGATGCACAAAATGCTTGCAAATCAACAAATTGTCTCAAGTCAGACATTGTAGTAATGTGAAATCACCAACATCGAATAAATCATCAGCTAACTTAAACTGCTCTTATATTATAATTCCCCACTCTTCACATTTCTGGTGGCGAAATATGATATCCCCAAGGTCGCGTATCCGTTGCAAATCTTGTAACAATTCTCTTATCATCATTATGGCTGAGAACTATTTTCTCCTGTTTTATTGTATAAGCAATATGATGTTTTGATTTGATGAGATTTTGGGACTTTTCGTAATTTCGGTTATTAAATAAGCATTCTTTATAATTTTCGAATGTTATTGTTTTAAGTGAAGCTTTCGTACTACCTTTGGATTTCTTAACTACTTTTTTATTAAAATCATCGTTTACAACTCTATATGCATACATTTTCGATCTGAGACCCACAAATTCTAACATAATCTTACCGTTATTTTCATCTTTCATCAAACCTGGCACTTTTTTATTTTTTTGTTCTATACCATAAATATTAAACAAATCATAGTCTGAAGTATCAAACCGATGAGAATCTTTCTTAATATATTCGTATCAGAGCTGTTCAGTACTTCAAGTAAAAGTACTTGAAGTAATACTTCAAGTACTTTAAGTACTTCAAGTACTTTACTTGAAGTACTTTTATATTTAGGTACTTGGTACTTGGTACTTGAAGTATTTCTAAAATGTACTTGAGTTTAGTACTTGATTTTGCCAAGTACTTTACTCCAAGTACTTCACTCAGTATTTTAAATACCCTTGTATTACTTGAAGTATGAAAGTGGAAATTTCAAATACTTTAGTCTCTATTTTACCAAGTTTTCACATCTCAAAATAGGGTCTGTTAAATACTTGAAGTTATTAATTCAATTATTTGATTAGATGTATTTTTATAGTAAAATCGTGTTTGTTTCCTGTGAGGTTATATTTTGATCTGTGATTGTGGATATCTTATCCACAATATGACGTACATTTCATAGGTACTTGCATAATGTCGATAGATAGGTAGGTAAGAAAATTAATGTCATAAATATGTCATTTGAGAGTGGATGTAAAATTTTCAGCGATGTAAAGTTGTGAATATATGAATTTTGTCTTTTACCCCAAAGGGAATCGGGTTTGTTGACGTACCTGCTAAAGTGCAAGGTCGGATTTGAAAATATTTGAGAAATGATTCAGTACTCGTTCAAAAAGATATTTATTCTTTCATTAGTTTCTTAACCCCGCCTGGTCAGGGCGGAGAACTCGGCAGGGGATTATCCCTTTTATTATAATAGCAATAGCTGATGGCAGGTACAGACTTTCATATTTGCCTCTCCCTCCTAGAATTTAAACACAATTTTATGTTAAATATTTTGCAGTTTAATTTTCTTTATCATGTTAGACACTCGTTTTTTACCAAATTTTCTTTTTTTGTTTATACATGGTTCAGCCATATAAACTTAGTTTGTTATTACTACTTATATTTTCTCACATTACAGTTTCAAATGATCTGTTAAATTGTGTGAATTATTTGAACACCAACAATTTAAAAAGACGTAATGCAGAAAAACAATGATTTTAAAAGTCACACTAATTAGTGTCATTTATCTTTCCTGTGCGGATTTTATTTATTACCGTACAACAACTTTACGTTTTGCATTGCATCGCTTATTACATAAACCCAATATTGTTCAAAATGAAATATGTTTTGTGAAACTCGGCTCGTAGTACCAATGTTTTTTGTAATCCAGTTGATACGACCATGATTGTATGGTTTTGATGAGTACCGAATTGTACTTTGATATTGCTCGAAGGACCTTTGTTTTGTTGTGTGCGAAATAATAGACAGCGTTCGGTTTCGATGTTTAAATACAGGACGGTTACAGAAGTACTGAATTTACATTTGTATTTACAATATCAGGTAAAGATACCCAAAAGGGTCAGTGGCCCCTTCCGTAAATGGAACAAAACACATATTCACATTATAAAAAAAATACAAAGTTAATGAAATTCGCGATTAGTTAGTATAATTGCCTAGATAAATACACCCCTACGAAATATTTTAACAATAATAAATTTAGTACATATTTACCTGAATTTTCGCAAAAACCGTTGTTAGGCATTCCCTGAAGTCATTGTAGTTATCAGTTACTAATGTCATCTTCTTTGGGTTTTCAGGTAAAAATAAAAAATAAGCCAATCGAAAATGTAAAGGAAAATTTTGAAAGTATTGTGGCATTAGACGAACAAAATTTTGTATAAATGGACGGAACAGCATTACGAACCTATTATTTGTGATTTGTCAGTGTAAAGTTGCATACTTAGTTAGACAAACATTGCAGTGATTAGTGTTTACTATTTAGTCACTGTAGTATTTAGGTTAATTTAATCATTTTTAGAATAGTAAATACGTAAGTGGTAGATAGATATATTCAGGAATATGGGGCATTCATTCCAAGAAAATTCTCAGCATTTTTGGTAACCGCAAAAGTAAAAAACGACTAATTACTTTGATCACCTTGATATTTTTCAAGAGTTATAGTTTTCGCTGAAAATGGACTCTCGTTTTAGGCATTTTATTTTTTATTTAAAAAATTCATACATTTTTTTTTGAAAATGCAACATAGTGACTTAAACATTTTTATGTCACGAGCATGTATATGTATCGCACTGCTCTTAAAATTTTTTTCTGAAAAATTTCACTTTCAGAAATCCGGCCCTGTGCACTTTCACAGTGGGTAATGATTAAGGGTGCTGTAAACTGCCCACAAACTTAAACACGGAACCGGTTCATAAAATTCATATATTTTTAACACAACTTTATTAAAAAATCAGAACGTTTTGGTGGTGAAACAAAATTCAAAATATTAAAAAAAGCCAACAGAAGCCTGAGAAAATACCATACAGCGCCGATGTTTTTGTTATAAATTAATAGTAAGCATACATAGACAACGTCGTCATGTATTTTATTTTAAATTTTAAATTAGAAATAGACGTTAATTTTGTCGAAGGCATTGTGTCAACAGAAAGATGTAAAAGTATTTCAAAAGAATATTATTTATAAATAACATAGTATTATTAATAAGTGAGCTACCATTCTGCATTTAAGTTGATGCTTATGCAATTTTTTATGTGGCGAAATATGTATTATTGTATACGTAAATTCTGAGTATTAAAAAATTCAGTTCTAAAATATATTAAGCTTTTTTAAAAAAACAGGAAAAGTTATCTAATTCTACAGTATTTCAAATAATTAGAAAGTACTTGAAGCATTTTCAGTACTTCAAGTATTTGTAAGTACTTGAAGTATACCTCCAGTACTTCAAGTACTCGTAAGTACTTGAAGTAATGTACTTGGCTTGTACTTCAAGTACATCTGAAAAGTACTTGATACTTGAAATACTCTTGCTGAGAGTAAGTACTTGGTACTTTACTTGAACACTATTTCAAGTAGTACTTTGTACTTGGTACTTCAAGTACTTTTTTTGAGTACTTTGAACAGCTCTGATTCGTATATATCATCTACATGAAATTCGTAAATTAGACTGTCAGTGTCGGTGTAAAGCAACTTTGCATTACTGTTAAATGTTTCCTTAATATAACCATAGTGGAATTCATAGAGAAAAGTTTTAGAAATATCTAAAATACAAAAACCGACATAAATTGGTTTATTTAAAAACACCTCTAATTTACTCATTTCGATGATCGCTGAATCATCACCAAATACAACGGAACTGTGAAAATTTGGTTTAGAAATAAGAGAACGAACTCCCCATCGTCCCTCCCATTTACTGACCAATCGAATATCCCTATGTTTTCGAACATTTTCCATGCATTTACCATAAATAGCGTTAATCATTAATTTAAAAAAATCTTTTTCAAAATCGTTCTTCGCTTGCTGTCTAAGCCTTGTATTTAAATCTATATATTCCTTTAACCACGCAGACTGTTCGAATTTAAGAACACGATGTACACATTTTATTTTCATACCAAATTTTATATACATTTTTAAATTCCTATAATGTATAACATAATTTTTCTTAGGATATAAAGTCAATAACAACTTTTTAAGTTTAGACCTTGAAATGGGGGGTATCATGTGCTCTGGAGCTAAAGGTAAATCGCTATGTATTTCATGCAAATCTACTGGATAATCCAAATCGCATTCAATAATATAACCAGTTGTGGAATTATCGGAAGTATCTAAGATATCTGAAATATTGAAATTTTCTACAAATTCAAATTTCCCATAGGGTAAACATTGAGACATTGCCGCTCCGTAAAGGTTATTAACATCAAAATACATTAAATAGGCACTATCTTGTGAAGGATCATATTCGTCTTTATTCATGTACTTATTATTGGCTTTACCGTATCTATTAGAACATTGGGAAACTCCACCTCTAATACCTCTCTCCACAAAAAGGACTTTATCTATATCCGTTAAGAGTTCTAGTTTAATTTTTGTCGTTTTTAACATGGCATCAAATGTTAAGCCTGGTGCAGTATAATAATGTAAGGGATCAAGTTGATAAGTATTTAAACACGTAGTTCGAAATGCTTCGAATACGTCGGCTAAAAGAAGCACATCTGTTTTTAAATATAAATCGGAATATTCTCCTAATGTACGAATATTGAAAGTATTCCAAACTTTGATAGCGTTAAGAATAATCTTCATCTTTAATATCTTGTTCGTATAAGCGGCTATAAAAATCCTTTTTTTCGGGTAGTTTTGTTTCAAGGAGTTTCTCCCAGGAATTTATATAATCATAAGGAAACACTCCTTTTCTGTTTAACAAATAAAATTCTTCCATATTATTACAATTTGTCTGAGTAATAATTTTTTGTGAATTATCTAAATTGGAAGAAAGTTTGTCTAAACTGTAGGGCATAAATCTGAAAGAATCAATAAATCGTAAACTAACTTTTGTATCATCGACAAATTTAGTAAATGAAATATATCTTTCTTTATTGATGGGAAGCAATTCGATGTCACCTTTTATTGAATTTGAAAGTTCTTTAATAAAAAAATGTGCATCATATCCACTCATATTATGAAACACCACAGGTATAACACAAATATCTTTATAATTTAAATTACAACTCTGATGTGCAGCACCCCTATACATTCCAGTTAAGTGATTATGATCGCGCACTTTAACGTTATTTTCTGAAAAAGTTTTTTTACATATATGACATATTTGTGAGGATTCAAACTGCTCACGTTCTTGTGTAGTTAATTTTTCCATAGAAATAATGTTTTGAAATTTGTTGTTACAAAAATGAGCCAATTGATTTAACTCTTGAACAAACCATTGGATGCAATCTTTACCTCGATACGAACGAAATCTGGAAAGAGAATTATCATATGAACAGTGAAAATAGTATGCAACACTGTATGCAACGTGTTTTTGATAAGGATCGGTTTTACAAGTAGTGGACATGTGGTCTTTTGAATAATCAAGAAGAATACTCTCGAGATCTGCATATATAGTAAAAGGTACTTTTTCTTGATATCTATAATTTTGAAAATACAAATAATTTTCGTTTTCTGATGGCAATCTTATGGAATATTTATTAATATTCTGACATGTAGTTTTATGTTTTTGGAGTAATTCCTCTGTTGTGAAATGATTTAAACATCTTTCGCATATATAAAATTTACATTTATGGAGGGAAAGTTGCTTAGCTAAAAGAGCTGACAAATTTTTGATCCATACGAAATGATAGAGCAATTGACGATCTTCAAAGTGATCATTGTCGTTTTTTGTATTTTGTATTTGTGTTTCAGCAGGTAGCATAAGCAAATTAATTACTTTATTAGAATTTAAAAACCTTGTGCTTAAACGACAAGGTAAAACTTTTTTCTCCTCGATGCAGTACAAATTAATTGCAAGATTGTTGAGTTCTTCAAATTTTTGAATGTCTTTAATTGTGATTGGAAAGTCTAAATTATCATATTTCAACACATTTTTGAAGTGTGGATACGACGATTTTCGATGTGAATTTTTATCGGTAGGGAATAAAGCTGAAACTACTGCCCATAGAAAACAATATTCATCATCATTTTGGACATTAATTATTGCATGTTTTTTTTTAATGCAAGCTGGTGTGGACACGAAAGTTGAGTAACCAAATTTGATTGGATCATATTTATTTATGTTAATTTTCAATCCTAAAATCTCATACAACGCCCAACCGGAGTCCTTTTCCGCAAATTCTTCTAATTTCTTCATTATCTTATCAACAACGTTCTCTTCGTACCATTGCTTTAAATCTGTATATGCATCAATGTGCTGATTTTTTGTGGAGAATGTTTTAACGTCTGTTTCACCAGAGTGCGGTTTAATAAAATTTGCCGAAAAAATTACATTTACTTTTAGCATCGTGTTTTTTAGCTCTTTTCTAATTCTAAACATAAAGCATTTAAAAGATTGTCGAAAAAACTGAAGAGGATCTTTAATGTGATGATTAATTATAAATCCTGTACGAATCCTTTGTTCAAAACAAGATTCTATGTCTTGCCAGGTTACGTTTGCCGTAGGTTTAAATTTGTCTCTTTTAAAATAACCTTCTCCAATTGTTAGAGACAAATGTTTTTTCTTATTTAAAAGCTTGAAGCGGTAAAATTTTAAATAAGCTATAGACTTGTTTCTAAGGAATTAGCATTTTCTAAAATATTTTCTCGATGTATTTTACATCTAAGTGCTTTTCTAATTATTCTAATGCTGGTATTTATATAAACTAAAAAATTTTTAATTTCTTCGATTGTTTTGATTTTACTAATATATTCATGAATTAGCTTAAGCGAGCCTTTACATATAGCCGTCACTGTTTCCTGCGGATGCATTTCTTTTTTTTTTTTTGCTGTCGAACTTGTTTATCACAGTAGAAAGAAGAGCACTATTATTTTTCTTTATTTTTCTGTGGAATACCTTCTTATTTATATGTGAACGAAATTTCCGATTGTAACTCACAACTCAACAAATTTAATAAAAATCAGCGAAAAATGAGACGCGTATTTTTGCAAGCTCAGAAAAACAACTAAATTATCAACTTCAGCGTAATTAAGAAAATGTATTCTGTAGTAAAAGTGGAGGAAAATAGCAAGAGTGGGGATTGATAATGTGTATAAATTGAAGATCACCCGCAAGAGCTACCACCCCACCATGACTTACCACCTCTACAAGCTTGCTATTCGAGTGTGTGTATACAAGAACATAACTAGTCTAAAATGTTTCTGCCTATTAACGTGATGGTACTATTAAGTGCGCTTGTTGAAAACAACTTATATATCTATACCACGCCAGACATAACTCTCCTGTATATTCAGACGTATGAAAAGGAATGTTGGGAAAAAATGACTCCGATCAATATAATCGAAACCAGTTATCATTTCTTCTATGCGAAAAATATAACAAGGCAAAATCATTTGGCTTACAAGATAAAAACAGAACAAGGAAATCGACAATTTTCTCAATGGTTAATAATAGAAAATATTAACAGTAGTAAGAATTCAAAGGAAGTCATTGATTTTTGTTTAAGGAACGATCATGTGTGGTCTGCTTCACTTTTTCTCATATTCTCGATAATGACCGTAATAGTAGCATGCGGGGATTTGGCGAGCCATTAGTGCTAGTTGTGGTGGTGGTGGTGGTGGTGCTGTTGAATACATATATAGGTTACTTCGCAACAACAAAGTACTCATTCTATCCGAACAATGTTAGGCTTAAAATGCACACTTATTTTATCGACCATTTTAATACAGAAAGATTTTTATTTATTCACTGATAGGAATGTTACAGATGTATATTTACAAACTCTGGTTAGAAATAAAGAATGTACTTGTAGAGAAATGATAGAAATTAAAAATGGACATGATCAGTTAGTAATGTTTAATCAAAAAATGTATCCGTTTCCAACCAACTGCAGTATCAACTAGAATTTGTCTTCAAAAACAGAAGCCGATGCAAGTCACCAAATATCACCACTATTAACGATTATAGTGGATACAAAAGTTCTAGCGGTGAACATGCTACACAATATTGTTTGGCAAAACCCTGGATCTGGATATTTACTTCTGCAGGAGCAATTATTTTTGTAATTATATTTGGTGTGTTACTTTATTTAGTGTTAACATATTTCACTCATTGTAGGAAACCCAATAATCCAACAAATGTTTGAAAATTTATGAATGTACGGATTCAATAAAACAATTATTTACATTTATTAGTTTTATTTCACATATATCCTATCATTTTTTCTAACAGCATTAGCACTACGATTTAACTCAACAATAAATTATTTGATATTTTTCAAATTATTAGCAGCACGACAGGAATCATCGGGATCTACCACTACAGTATATGCTGACATAGCTAAATTGTTTGGTTCAAATCGTACTTCCTTTTTCGCAATTCTTTTCTTATACTTGGTGATGCGATCTTCGCAACTCGCGGAAGTGAACAAACAAAGTGAAAGAATTAATGAACAAAATAAATTATTGTTTATAGGTTTTTGATTTTCGTTTTTTAATGATTTTTTGTTGTTTTCATATAAAATTCAACAAAAAGCGATTTTTGGTTAACTTGAAATTTTTTTTTTAATGTTTTAGTATATTTAGTTGTGATGGTAGTAGTCATATAACAATAAATATAAAGAACAACCTATTTCGTTTTTTTTTTTTTTAAGTGTTGCATGTTGGGCTTATTCGAATCCTTTTTCGATGGTCTTTTTTTCGACCTGAAAAAAGTTTTACGTAGCGACCTCGAAAAAACTAAAAATGGCTCCTGTATCAAGGTTGACGTGGACAGAATCGATTTTTTTGAGCAAACTTATCCGTTCGTTCCAGAAGAAGGTTTTGATGTATACAACCGATACCCTATCTCTTACCGTTTGGGCACTAGAAACTTTTGCCCTTTTCTAACTCAATTTCAACTTTTTTCGAAATTTTTTTTGCTCAACGTGTGTCTTAATTCTTTTAGCTTTTTTCCGTTCCCTTGTACCGACATGCTACCTCTTACCCTTAGGAGCTATAAGGTTTTTTCGTTATTACTACTAAACGGTAGATGAAAATACTTTTTTTGCTACGTAGACCTATAGACCGTTTATTCGGAAATATTTTGATACAAAAATATATTTTTTAAGTTTTACCGTTTGGGCGCCACAAACTTTTGCCCTTTTCACAGTCATGTCAAAAGTTAGCGAAAAACCGTTGACGGCTGTCGATATTATTTGTTTTTGTCAATCTTTTTTGCCCTATACACGAACCTCCTATCTCTTACCATTTTCGAGTAACAAAAATTTTTTCTATTTAAACGGTAGATACACCTATGAGTCATAATCATTTTTACACACGATTAGATAGTACTTCATGAATATGCATTTGTTTTTGTGGAAAAACAAACTTTTCAAAATTTGGATTTTTTTTTGAGATTTTTTTTGTTTTAATTTTTCTATGGATTCTTTGAATTTTTTAAATTTTTTTTTCACCAAAACTTCTAATTTACTTTCCTACTGCTCAAGGAAAACTTTTTTTCGAATTTTGACAACCTTTTTTGACAAAAATTGTTGCGCCCCAAACTCAAATTTTCACATATTTAATTATATGGACCTATCGATTATTCATCCGAAAATAATTTGACACAAAAAACAAATTTTTAACTAATTCGGTTTGGTCACCACAAACTTTTGCCCTTTTCTCCGAAATGCTAAACTCAAACTAAAAACCGTCAAGATAGGTGCATGTGTTTCGTATTTTAGAAACTTTTTTGTTCTTTGCACGAACCTCCCATCTCTTACCGTTTTCGAGTTAAACATTTTTTTATATTTAAACAATTATTACACCCCTTACCCTCATTTATTTTTACACAAATTGTGTCATTAGTTTATAGAGATGAGTTTTTCTTTTTTTGTAAACAAACTTTCTGCTTTATGGCACCCTGAAGCGATAATTCCTTATTTTTAAATATTTCCGAATACGTCCCTGTCTAATGAGAAAACAACGTGTGGTTCCGAAGGAATCTGCTGATGCGAAAGAATATTGTTATAATGACGGACGACGACGCGTTTCGGTTTACAAATTTTAAGGTGAAAATATTCGTAATTATATCGGAAAATAAGTGGTTTTGTTGCTTTGTTTTGGACACTAAATGGTGGTTTTTGTGATATGTGTGTATATGCATGTTTTCGAGAAAGAACGGATAATTTTACTGTCTGTTTTCGACGATGTAAGTGACATTTTTTAATTTTAAACAACACACTCTCGCCTTCCGACATTTGATATTTTATTCTAATAATTACGGACGTGTTTCGCATCGTTATTTTTACGTTAGATTGATCCGTAATTATTTGTAATGTACAAGATTCCGAGTGCAAATAAGCTTAAATCGACAGAAACTTGCTTCGGACAGCTGAAATTTTATTTTAAATTATTACGGGTGTGGTTCGGTTTATTATTTGTCGTTTGGGTAAAAGTTTATGTAGTCTGGGCCTATTTTCGACCCAAAACAAATAATTATTTTGTCTGTTATGAATATCCTAAGTGACCATTTATTTATTACGAAAATAAACGGAATTTTGTCGGAAGAAACACGGCTTTTATTCGTGACGGTTAATCGCAATTAAATAATTTTATATGGGACTGGTGAAAATAACACACCAAACGAAATAAACAATATTTATTACAATATAATAATATAATAATATAATTTGAATTATTCCAATTTTCGAAGAAGTTATTTAACTGATTTTCTTTGTTGAATAATTTTCAATTGTGAATCTAACTTTTCGATTGTTTCTCTAAATTTTCGCTTCTTCTCCATCATTTTTTCGATTAACGGTTTTATTTGTATTTCGAAACGTTCCACATTCATTTGAAATCTTCTAACATCATATAACCAAGTATTAATTCGGTTTTCTTTATCATTTATTAAGAAAATAACAGGTATATTATCGAAGCACACACGTCTTTTATTCATGACGATTCACCATAAAATAATATTTTGTACGAGGATGGTGAAATAAAACACACAATAAGTGATTAATTATAATTTATTAATATCATTAATTCTAGTACAGCTTAAGATTGTTAAGTCCTTTTCTTATTTCATACAACTTAATTGCTTCTTTTATGGAACGAATACGTTCCAAATGTAAATCTAATCTCCGATGCAAAGTTTTAACGGTATTTAGATTATATTTCTTATTTTTCATTATCTTCATCCTTCAATGAATTCTATATTGACTGTTTGACCGATCGGTCCTTTGTTGACGAAATGCAACTTCCAGCCGTTGGCAATTTTTCTGTTCAGATCGTCGATTACTGAATCGTCGAATTTTTCAGTAAAGCGCTCGGGTAGTATTGTCCTGCAATCTTCCAGTTGCACAAATATTTTGTCCCCGTATTTTGTAGGATTTTTACTAAAACTTTTAATTAAAAACCTTTTGTTTACTTCTAAAGTTTTTGCACTCACAAAAGCTTGTAATTGTGATTCTTTATTCAAAATAGAAATAAAAGACGACATTTTAAATTTACAATCTGTTCAACAATTGAAGGAACAATACTAAATAAATCACTGACAAGCAAATCGACGTTTATATAACCGCAAAAGAGATGGTGGGGTATTACTCGAGCCTGCTCGAGATAGGAAGGAGATCGCTGCGTCAGCTTAACCGAGCAAAAGCAAGGTCAACGCTTATGTCAGCCACCTGCATCCAAAAAGAGTCAATGAACGCCCAGGTCAATTGTCGACCAAAAAGATCAATGACCGCTCGATCAAAAGTTGTGGGGCTCCTAGCTCGGGTTGACCTCATTTGACCTGAGCCAGCAGCCCCACTATATAACTACTCTAAGGGCCGGTTTATAGAAACGCGAGTTAAATATTTAATCCTCGATTAATTTAACACTGGATTAAAATGTGGAATGGTAGCTCGTGATTGGTTAAAACCTGCACGTCGCCTAGCAACGAACCTCAATTAAAAGTTAATCGCGAATTAACTTTAACTTCGGTTTCTATAAACCAGGTCTTTAGCTATTAAAATTTAACAATGCAACTTGCTATAACAGTTTTTCAACTTAAATTAATTCCAGGTACCTAAATAAATATATACTGATTATTATTATTAATGTATTATGCAATGAGTCAAAAACTTAAATAACAATAAATTTGCATGTACAATTTTGTCATGTGCTATAGTGTTATCTCAACCTGTATGACTTTTCATCAAATCCGTTGCATAATTTGTTTTCGATAAAATTTTCACTAAACAAGAATAAAAATCAACATCTTACAATTTCGCGACACTACTTAGAAAAACCCTACACTAAAAGACATAACTCTTCTTAAAAAGGCCCATCTTCTGATGAAGTTTTTTTGTAAAACTGCCTCGAAAATCCAGCTGGAGAATTATCAAACAGTCCAAACCTGTGCCTTTGATAAACATAGATGAGAAACAGCACCACAGGGATGGTTATCAAAACTCCAATCAAAATTCCGATTAATAAAGCACCATCTCTCTCCGATCTGTGTCCATACAAATCTAAACATCTCATCGTAGTTTGTCTCTTGTAGACATCACGAAACGTTAAAGCAACCATTTCGATGGGAGCCCCACATCTGAAAGAAAATATTTTAACACAAAATAATAAGCTACCAACATATACCTCAATCGTTTGGCTTTCTGTTCGTCAAGTTTCAGATAAATTGGCATCAACTCATCAACTATCCACTGGTTTTCGCCCTCACAAGTCCATGGATTGTCTGTTAGATCTAGCTCTGTAAGGTCTTTCCACTGTAGAATGAGTTGCATATCAATGTGCGATAATTTGTTTTCTTGCAAATAAAGCTAAAACACAAAATTGTATTTTTAATTTTTGGGGAAGGTTTAGTTTATCTACCTTTTTGATTGGTGGCCAAGTTTCATACTCCGCACCATCCCGTCTGGCTGATAAGGCATCCTTATCAATGTGTGACAATTCCGGATTATCATAACAAAATAGTTCCTCTAAATTTTCTAAGTTGCTTAGCGCCCTACTAGTGATATTTAATAGTTTTCTCATACCGCTGAGATGAAGAATTTTCAGAGTTGGAATTTTGGGAAAGCCACTACAATTTTCTTATAGACAAGAAACTAAAGTCGTGTTTTGCACTCACTTTTCTTCCGCCAAATTCACAATGGGATTGTTGTTGAAGTAAAGAACTGACAAACTGTGTGAATCTCCTAGTGTTTTGGGGATTCTGTCTAACTGATTGCCACTGAGATCAAGCTTTTCCAAATACCTCGGAACGTGTAAAAGCGCGCCAGGAAGCGACGATAACCCGGTATAGCTTAAATCCAATTGCTAAAAATAAAAAATTACGAACTTGTCTTTACTACAATGAAATTGACAACTTTCAAAAAGACTAAACTGGTGATGGCAACCAGCGTTTGTTGGTCGATTTCATCCAAAGGGTTGTGCGAAATAGTTAGAATCTCAACATTAGGCGTGTGTTCAAAAACGTCTTGGTTTAAGCTGCTAATCCTGTTGTGGTCCAAGTGAAGATTTTTCAAAGATTTGAGGGGTATGAATTCATCTGGCAAATACTGGCCCTACAAATTTTTTTGTGATTTTGTTGAAAACAATGTAAGTAGTAAATTTACATCAAAAGCGTCAGGATGTATCTGTTCAATGTTATTGTAGCTCAAATCCAAGGTTATCATATCTTGCAAGTTGCGAAAAATGGAATCACTTATGTTGACTATGGAGTTGTTGGCTAAGCTCAGGTAGGTAATATTAGAGATGGGGAATTTTTTGTCCAGTGTTAAAATTGGCGTGTTGTGAACTAGCAACGTTTTATAGGGATAGGTTTTATTTGTGCTGTCTATCCAAAACGAATCCTGGAATAGGTAAGCTCTGACATCTCGAATGCACGTGACTTCGAATTTGGTTTGTTCGACAGTTTTGCAGCTACATGCAGAACAGAATGGAGGATCGCTTTGGGCAAGACAGTGTCCCATTAACATGGAAAATATGAGATAGACATACATCCTGAAAAAAAGTTAACACTTGTTAATAATGGAACCTTTGATCAACGCTTAAGTAGAATACAAAAAAAATTGTATTCTAAATTGGTCGAAAGTTATTTCGACAGAACTTCCCTCGCCCTTGAGTACAAGTCCACTTTTTCGAAAATCATTTGATTAAAGAAATACAGTTGCAAATTTTGGAATGACGTCAACCCATTGGTGCTAATCCTAATACACGTATTAAACGATTTAATCAATAAAATATTTTTTTTTGAGACACCCCATACAAGCAAATCTAAAAAAATATTAATGCAGTGATAAATCACAAGTATTGACTCATAATACACATATACCTTTATTTTATAATAATGAAAAGTTTAAAGCAAATTATTGTACTTGAGTTTCAGTATCTACACAGGGATCAAGTCGGTTTGAGTTCGTCATTTCAAAACAAATGAACGAATAATTTGTTGAGATTTGTAAGAGTCTGTTGAAATGTGACCTCCGTTTATCCGTAACAAATATAAAATGGAAAAAAGTGGACTTCGCACTCATTCTGAAATAAGGGAAGAGGCGGCAACTATTGTATATAATCTCTTGCGCGAAAAATCGACGGATGTTGATATGAAATATACGCAACCCAAAATACGATATTTATTCTTTAATTGTACATATAGGAGAGAAATGTAACTAGACAGTTCGGAAGCAGGTTCTCAGGCTAGCAGAGACAAAATGTAATTAATCTTATACTATATACTAATTTTCGGTGCAAATTCGCCCTTATTTAACTAAAATGTCTGATTCAACTGACATCCGTTGCATAATTTTTGCAATATGTAAAACTGGGTCAAATTTTTATTAACCCATAGCAAAAGCTGTTGGGTCAGCTTATCAATTTATCAAAACATATCCGGCTAATGTTCAGTAAATGGTGGGGTTTTGAAAGTGTAGGAGAGAAAAATTTTGAAAAATAACAACCTTTTTTTTTATGTGTGTGAGGGCGTTACATTATTTCTTTACCAGTTATCCACATTATCAAGCGTCAGATTTTGATATAACATAAATTATAAACTCACTTTTAAGTCGTCGGTGTCGATAGCTGATTAATTACATTTATAGCCTGGTCAGGAGGGCTGGTGTCGAGGTGAGTCGATCATTACAACAATTATGCACCCTGTAAATTGCAATTGGGGATGTGAGCCATCAATCCCTAAAGTCGATGTGGCGACTTTGCTAATTGGGTGATACTCTTTAATAGCGAGTCCGTGTCATTTTGACTTATCAACAATCAACAAGTTTGGTACTACTTTATCGTAAATATGACTGCTTTAATTAACAATTATTTCATCAATGAGCTCTGTCCAAGAGGTTGGAGTCACAACGGTCGAAATTGTCCGGTACGGAGTGTGCAATGGGTACTAAGGGAAAAACTGAAGACGCACGAAGTACTCGCTCTCGCTACCGACAACAGGGTACAGCACTGAGTCGTGCAGTGGGCGAAGGGAAATGAAGGCGCACGACGCCCCGCTCCAGTTACTGTCCCAGGACTAGTGCCAAAGAGTGCAAGGACACCAAGGGAAAAACTGAAGACGCGCGAGGTGCCCACTTCGATAACTAGTCCTTTGACCACAAGGCATCAGGATTAATGCCCGCACCGTATCTGCTACACAGACACATCCGCCACAACGGATTTTGTTCTTCCGCCTGCGACAACAGGCACGTCCCGCACCAACGGGCATGCGCAACAACGGATAACAGGTCCCGCTACAACGGGCGTCCGCGACAACGGACAAAGGTATCATAGGAGGGCGGACAGTCTAATTAAATTAGCTCGACATGTCAAAGCTCATTTCATCACTTTTACTATCGCAATATCTCTCAGAATTATGTTAACATTATTTGACAACTGACTCGGTACCACTTATCAATAATCATGTCAAATGCAACAATAACAAGAAACGGACTCACCAAATCACAGTAGATAATCCAATTAGCTTTTACAACAATTAACAAAGCAGATTACACCTTAGTGAAATCTCACTCACATCACCCCTAAGACCGATAACTCAGTGATACACTCACCTCAACACTTTTTGATCAACCGTAACACGTTATGTTAAAATCGTCTTAACCGGTACGCGTCCGTTTTAAAACTGAAATCTTTATCCAGGCCTTTTTAGTTACACCCCCTCGAAAGAAACACAGCCAACCAATCAACCCCAATCAGGTCTATTTTTTTTGGGTCACACATGTGGTTTCTGTTTTTGCCTGTGACTGCGATAGTCTCAGATTTGTTTCGCTCAAGTGTTAAGTCGCCGGACCACCCGCACCCCTGCATCGCAGGCCATTAGTAGGCGTGTGAAAGGACATAGGCCATTCCCCAGTTTCTGGGAAATATATATTTTTTTCACTAGCAGCCACGACGCATGCAAATGTCGACTCATTTAGAGGTAGCAAATTCAACTTTTGCGACCACCGTTTCAAAAAGAAAAATTGAGGTTATGTACGCAATGTTTGATGTGATTATTTCTTAAAAAATGAACAAATGTGTGCTAGAAACATTACTTGAGTATACGCATGGTAGTTGGTAGACGGTAGAAGATAAAATGATTAACTCAGCGACAAGTATAAACGGTTTTCTTTGTGTTGAAGATTTAGATGAAGTTTGATTAAAAATCAAAACAAAATCATGTTGCGTCAAAAAATTGAACGTTTATTTTTTCAGTTTATTGTCTTATGGTTTCTACTAGTGAAAAAAATAGTATATTAACCACGGTTGCAAAGCCCCTCCTAGACCTCGCGCTTCAGAGCCCTCGACGCTGCGCGTCTCGGGTTCTAATTTGCGCTCGGTCTAGAATGCTTGGCTCTGCAACCTTGGCTAATAATATACTATTTACGAGCCCCAAATTAGCATGAAACTCTTAACTGCATGCTTTTACACCCCAAATATAAAAAATATGAAGAGAAACACATGTTAAATACAAACCTATCTTACAAAAGGATTTCTTGTTGGTGTATCTACCCTTCCTTTTTTCAATTTTTATCGCAGACATACCTACAACATGCATACCGACTTTTTATAAGCTACACATGTTTATTGTTGGTACTTTCATTAAACTTCAAGTTGCTTTTCAGAAAATTAACTTTGATTTGTCCTAAATACCGGATGATTATTTTAAAATTCTGCTCTAGTTACTCATAAGCATAAGGCTCACTATTTTCAACAATTTTTGTGAAATAAGTGTGATGTTCATGATTTAAATTATTGGAAAAAAGATTTTGTGTGATTTTTTGAACGTTTGAAATCTTGATTGCCTTAGCTTTGACTAATGGAACTTTTGCGAAATGACACTGGATATTCAGGCAACCCAAAATATACCCTTCAAGTTTAATTTACGCAACACGTTTCTTTGCTGACGTAAGCGTCCTGGGACTCCTGTGTAATTAAAGCACAAATTTAAAAAATCACTCGGTATATGAATTGACTGACTGCAGTTGCTATATTTGTTTGACTTTTTTGAGTTCAGAAAATATGCTTTACAAATGAGTCGCATGTGAAATTTTTTCTATTACAATATAAGGAATCTATAGATGATTTTTCGTCGGACAATATGTTGAAACACCGATTACAATCAAACAGTCAACATCAGTTACACCTCAATCTATGATTCATGTTGTCATTATCAAAACAAGCCATAAAAACAGTGCCGAAGTGGGCCCCTAATGAATATTTACCATGTTTAGGATAACGTTTAAAGAAAGTAGCCAACCTTAAAAGTAGAATAAACATAATTATAATTTTTGTATTTTTCAAAGAAAAATATACCTAACAGATGAGTTGCTTAAACACAAAAGTAAAAAGAAACAAATTATTGTCGACTTTACTTTCTCGAAAAAAATCCCTTTATGATCCTTTAACAATAACGAAAATATCATCTACTTGAAAGAAAAGTCGTTACTGTTTCCAAAATTGTATACTTGTATTAAATATTTCGAAGTCAATTTTCCCGGAATTATGTTCGACGTCGTGTCCTTATCGAAAGATAATAATTTAATCTATGATATATAGTTTTGATATTTGCCACACCTTGCCAATTACTTTGTTTGGTACAGCTCTTTTATCATCGAATAAAAATATTCCTGCTGTTTACGCAACATATGAAAGGTATGAAATTCGTTAATGTGTTACATCTCGTTATTATATCTTAGAAACAAAACAAGAAAGTATGAAATTCACTAAAACTCACCTGAATTTTTATTTTGATAATATTCCACTATTTTAACATTACAAACGCAAGTACTATTTGTTAAAAATAGTAATCTGTATAGCACGGTATTCAACTGTTGACTAAACTTTAATATTACGTTTATCTTACCTATCGCAAACATATCGTCACCAGGTATTTATTCATTGAAAACAGATGAAGATATAGCAACTATTATTGATATTTCTAGATTTAACTAAATTTGAATGTCTACATTCCTAACTACTTAACTATACCTTATTTGCACTGATGTTCTGGTGATAATTAATGGCCTACTTTTTGGATGCATAATGTGTGGTATAATGCAGTAAAATTATGAAATGTACGTATATGTTTAATAGTTATTTATGCGTCTAGGGAATAAACTGCCACATTAATCCTGAGTCCTGTAATCTTCAATCGAGGGATTAAAAGAGTTTACTTCAGAGATGTATACAAAATTTTCCTCCCAACCGGTTAAATTAACAATAAATTACAAACGAAAAAGATGATTGGGCGTTACGGATATAGAATGGGCTGACAGTTATCAAGAGAACGAGTTTGTTGTGTGTCAAAACACACTCGAAATATTCAATTGTATCTATTTAATTTTATGAATAAAATCATTCAAAAATGGAAAAAATGAACACCGGAGAAGAGTTTGATATACCTTTAGCCATTACTGCAAGAGCTAAAGATGTAACGTCCAATTTGCTAATTTTATTCAAAATGAGATACAATCTCAGCTTTAAATGGGAATGAAAAATACTTTGCGGGAAAATCTTATTCATCGGATGTATAAGGAACTTCTTCGACGGCCAAAATTTTTGTAACTCATGATTTAACGAAAGGTTCAGCGATATGTGCGGCGACTGGATAGATGATGACCACAAAGACTAAATTGGACCCAACAAGGCCCAACTGAAAAGAGTTTTAACCAAGGGGAATGTTACGAACTCGCAATATATAATCCATTCGCGACGATTAAGATTATTATCTAAGTTGACAGGTGCATAAATAATTGTAAAATGGGTTATTTTCTTCCAGAGGACAAAAGATTCCAAAAAACTGGTTGGAACGCACGTCAGTTCATTTAAAGTAAAATTAAAATAAAAAATATATTAACGTTGAAAATATTTATTAAATTGAAAGCTGCAACGGTAGTTCTATAATTTCATTAACAGCTTCAAAAATGAAAATTGTTACATGGTCACCATCTATTGTAATTACTTGTGCTAGATTCTCGCTTATGTCTGATAATTGATAATCATCTCTGTCTGCAACCATTGTAAATCTTGCCTTGACCAGATGTACTGACGATATAATTTTCTTGTTTTTAAATGTATAGTTAAATATAACGATACAACGCTTATAGACGGTAATAGCTGCCTGTTTTTCTAGCATGTTACCTATTTTAGAAGGGATCAAAGATATAAGTAAATCGATTCCTTCTTCTAAATGTTTGGAATTTAGCAAGGTTTCCTAAATTAATTGATCCGAACTATACATAGACTTACAAATGTAAATAAATCGAATACTAGTTACCTCATGTTGTGAGTGTACTTCCAATGGAATCATAAAAGAGATTTTACTCAAAAATGCAGTATGAAAATCAGTTTTTTCTTTTTCAAGAGTAAACAGTTTTTTTTACAAAAGAATTTATATATGTTGGTGAACCATCGATTAAAATAAGGGTGCCAACATAAAAAGGGATTCTCTCTGGATAAATAAATTTCGATGTGCTAAAAGATGCACAATAATGAGTAGCATTAAAATATATCAATTTTAACTAACCGGGAACGCATTCTTCGCAATTTCTTCAATGCACTCTTCTAGAATTTTATAATTGTATTTTACTCCAATTACATGTGCGTTTAGCGAATTTGTCAAATATTCTAGTGGTTTTAAGAGGCCTTCAACTCCTGGTAGCACGAAAACGGTTGGAGCTTCTTCAGATAATCCCACTTGACTGTTCAATCTAACAGCAGCAAGCTGACTATTTACGATGTTGCGAATATGCTCAATGAGAAAATTTGTATTTCCTTGTGTTTTGTTACAAGTAATTTCCCCAGATTTATTTTCTGCCTCCATTTCAGTCAGTCTAAAATAATTCAAAAATAAATAAGAACATTTTCCTAATAAGAAAATAACTGCCTTGCAAATGTTAAACTTTTCACATCTTTAGATGTTACGTAAATTTTTAAATCTTTCTCTAGAAGTTGAACAATTTCTGTATTCATCATCGAGTCCATACCGAGTTCTGGAAATGTCGTATACTGACTTATAGTTTTCATGTTTTTTATGCCAATAACATGAGCAACAGCTGCGACTGCAGTAAGATTGTCACTTTTGTGATATTTTTCAGCTACAACCATACTAGAAACGACTGGATATTCATGCTTTATCAGCACATCTAATACTTCAAGACAACTTGAAATTTTTTGTTGGAGAGTACCACCAATCACTAACTCTTCATTTTCTTCATACATTCTCGCTAACAAACCAACCTTTAAAGTACTTGCAGTTTTAAAAAATAAAAACAATTATGTTAACTACTTCACCGATTGCACCCCATTGGATAGCTACGGCTGGTAATCCATCACGCTTTCGATTTTCGCATATTCTTCCCATAACAGAGTTTGCCATACCATAGTTGCTTTGACCTACATGACCACGACCACAAGATAAAGAAGAAAATACAACGAAGTACCTTAGCTGTGGACATAATTTCCTGCTTACTCGATCCATTGATTAAATACATATAGATAGACCCATGCTATTGTTTGGAGCGAACAGGCCAACGGCCGGCGAACAAGAGATGGCGCACCAACAGTCGGCCGTCAAACGCCGGCGAAAAGCTTGGACACCAACACAGTAGAGATAACAATCAGTAGAGACAGCTCGCCGTTTTTCGTGACCCGTTTTCGTGGGTGGTCGTTCGCATTATGACCGAATCAGGGCGCCCAACTGACATCTAAAATATTTGAAATTTGGCAGTTTTGTTACAATATTTTTGCCGGTTTTGCTTGTTTAAGACTGCCTTTCCGGTAGAATTGTACAAATAGTGTAAACATGTAATTTTCACAATAAAAGGTAAAATCTTTGTCCGATGAATTTTCATACAGGATCCCTGTTGTGCGCCTTATTCTCTCCATCGTCTTTGGAATTCTTGGAAAAGATAGTAAACATAACACACTTTTTGTTTAAAAAGTCGTCGCAAACGGACAACAACGGTGGTTATGAAATAAATAATAAAAATCTATTATATATGATTCCGTTGTTGTGGTAAAATTAAATATAAAAATAATAAGAAACAAACTACACGTAACAAAAAATTATATAAGCAGACCTTCTCTCAATAAACAATTTTTTTATTCATCATGTATATATATATATATATTTTGACCTACACAATCTTGAGTTTATTTTGAAACGTTGCTTAACCCATAAGCAGTCGCGCGTGGATAAAAATGACCCAAGCCGTACATTTTGTCAAATATCCTTTTTCGCTTAATCCCTATGGACTTCCGGTTTCATGAATTCCTTAATTATTCTTACCTGTGTCGACCCATACCAATTACCTGCACTTTATGTGAGCCGACAAATATGCATTTTTTTTGTAATAATTTTTTTTAAATAAAAATTTTACTTTATATGATATTACGCTTACGGGTTAAGTTGTTATGTAAAATGGGTTTGACTATATATTAATAAGACGCCTTTGCCAAGACAGACGCACTAGAAAACTGTTTTGGATGGATTAGGAAACAAAATGAAAATTCTATTAACCCCACATCTAATCAATTTCAAATGGCTTTTAGAAAATTAATCATACAAGATTATTTTGATGAAACGAACACAGGTAATCAAAACTGCGAGCCTGATATGGAAGAAATTTTAAAGTTAAATGTAGGTCGTCGTTTTGATGAAGAAGAATCAGTCACCACGATGCGGAAGACCACCTTAAAAGATTGTGATTATCACTTTCACACAGCTGAACAAAACGCAATTAGATATATCTGTGGCTACCCAATTCGGAATGTTTATTAGTACACAGTTGTAGTGAATGTGAAAAATATGCAAATGAACATAAAAGTTTAGACAAGAGAAGCATATATTCACATTTCAGAGCCTACCAAACGAAGAATTGCGAGTTATTTGGTAAATTATATATGCCAAACGATAATTTCTTTTTTTTTACATTTGTGAATAGAGCAAATTTTTAGTGAAAATTTTGAAAATATAATTTTACAAACAACTACTTTGTTGAAATTTTTTAATTTATACAAGCAAGCTACATTTGTTCATCCATGCCAAAACTTTCCATACGATTATTTGCTTGCTTTGTATGCTAGGATGAGATTATTTTATGCACTAAAATTTGTAAATGCTAGCTTTAAATTTACAAATGCCAAAGGTGAAAAAATTAATAGAAAGAAAATAATTTGGTAGCATTAACTTTTTTCCTTTTTGTAATTTAATTTTTATTTTATTTATTTTTTCTTAAATAAACCTCTTTCTTTTTAGATGAATTTATTACATTATTTTTACAATGATAATTAAACCTCAAGTATTCGGGGAAAGAATGTGCGAATTGTCAAATTGTGTAAGTAATAAAATAAAAACTGTAACAAATCATCGTGTTTATAAATTAAATATCGACTTTTCTTTTTTCTTATTGCGATTCACGATTATACGATTTGAGCAAACTACACAGTTTGCAATAAATTGCGTACACGAATCAATTTTTGAAATTGTACATGAAGTGATACTTTTTAAATTGGGTGGCGACATCTAGGAATAGTTTAGGCAACGACCACCCATGACGGCTTAAAATTCGGGTCAGAAAGAACAAAGGCGCCGACACGAGCTGTCTCTACTGATTGTTATCTCTACTGTGACACCAATCGCGCGCGTAGATAACCCAAATCACAGCAACAATACATTTAATAAACCTACCACTCGACAGAGGGCGACGAAAAAAATGTGTAAAAATCTCATAGTAAGCATTTATATAATTTACAACGTTGCCAGATGAGCCTAACACAACTTTGCCGTTATTTCTAGTCAAGTAGATTTTATTTCGTTTAAAAGTTTCTGATAAATAAATGAGAT